TGTTCTATCAAGCTCAATAAGACAAATATCATGAATGGTAATTTGGGGTTACTTACTGGCTCCGGCTGATCGTACCTCCACGTCCTCCTTTTACTTAATTTGAAAACCATTTTAAATTTCTCTTTTTAAAACCCTCCTCGATTTGAGACTGGAGTCACACGAGTGTTCCTCCAATTCACTCAAACCAAGGCTCTGATACCAACTTGTAACGATCAAAAATTTCAACATAATTTAAACTTTTCAAAACAATCCATTTTAATAACATTATTACAAAAAGGTTTTCAATACATTATTTATCAGAGTATTCCCAGGTCCATTTCATAAAACATAAACGCGACAAACGGTACGATCACACCTTTGCCTTGCCACAGTCTCCTGAAGAACCTGAAAAACATTAAACCACAACTGTAAGCCTGAAAGCTTAGTGAGATACCCCCAAAATACCAACCCCACATATGCCCTTCCAGGCTACGACCTTCCGGTCCATTAACATATCGCCTTCCGGCCCGTAACATATTATCTTCCGGGCCATAACATATTGCCTTCCGGCCCATAACATAAATAGCATACATAACATAACAGAACATAGAACAGCCATCCATATCGGGTCAAACTCTAGTCCAAACAACCCTGTGTACATAACATACAATCATATAACAGTTCACAGTCAACAAATCGATCAAACAGATCACATAACATATCATCATCCTAACCAGGATACCAACCTAACCGATCACTAGCATGACATCACCCTACGTCTCAGCCAAAATACTACTTACGCACATACGCCTTTCCAGGCCATGACCTTCCGGTCCACATAACATATAATGCCTTCCGGTCCATATCATAATGCCTTCCGGCCCATAACATAATGCCTTCCCGGTCCATATCAAGCAATACCATAACAGACAACTATCCGGATTTCCATCCGATAAAGGGTCGGCCTTGGTGCCGTAGACCCTGTCGATATAGTGAGGATAACTCACCTCATGAATGCTGATACTCGGAACGGAAGAAGCAGACTCTCGAACCACCAACTCACCGCAAATCCCGAACTAACCAACATAACAAGCATAAGCATTAGGTCAAACATACTTCCACTTATCGGACCAAGACTAAAGTCCAAATCTCACACAAAGTCCAACATTGGCCCAATTTACCAAATTGGGCCCACCTCACCAAATGGGCCTAGATCCAATATCCTTAATACTAATTGGGCCCAAAATACTCTATTCATAATTTCCAGACTTGGCCTAAGCACCAACAGCCCACAATTGGCCCAACTCAAAAGCCCAAAAGAAAGTCCACAGGAGGAGTATGTTGGGCGTACCCTCCCTGGTACGTTGGGCGTACAGCAATGATCACCAAACGAAAATGGGGCATTGGCCCGCTACGCGGGGTGTACTCGAAGGTTACGCGGGGCGTAACTTGGAGATCTATTAAGTCCTTTTAACATCTTAATGGCTTAAGCTCTTAAGCCCAAACTTCAGATCTATAGGCCAAATATGATTAGAAATCATAAAGTCTCAGACTTTATCACTTGGGACGTCCTTAAGCTCTTAATCCAAGGTCTTAATCCATTAAGACCTATATAACTCATACATGGAACAACTACAGCTCTTGGGACCTCATTTTTATCACTCAAGACCTCTCCAAAGGTCTAAAAGGACAAATAATCTTAACCAAATCGAACTATGCAACAAGATGAGGACTTTTGGGACAAGAATGATAACAAGGCTTCAAAATACATAGATCTATGCAATATGAAGGTCAAGCAAGAAGCTTTATACCTTAAACCAGCTCCAAAGGGTGATATTTCTTCAGATCCACAAGTTCCACACGTCCTTCTTCTTCTTTGACAACTTCCCTTTTCTCCTTCAAGCCTTTCTTTTGCCAACAAGAGCTTTCCAAGGCCAAACACACCCAAAAATGAGAGAATACGAGATCTAGGGTTTCTCTGAGGTAGCAGATGAGCATAAGGGGGCTGAGGGGTGAACCAACATGTTCCTTATATAGTGGTTGACCCTAAAAATAGGGTTTGGGGTTTCTGAGAGTACGCTGGGCGTACCTCCCTGGTACGCTGGGCGTACTCACCCGGCCACCCACAACCTTTCGTCCCATTACGCTGGGCGTACGTCCAGCTTACGTTGGGCGTACGTCCAGCTTACGCTGGGCGTACCCAGCCACCTTTCAACAATCAAAAGCATGCATGCATGCATGCATGGGACCATCTTCTTCTTATTCCATAAAGAACTATAAACAATGATCAACTTCGAGGCACCACAACTCCTCTAATCTAAACCCACTCTCAAATAACTTACGTTCATACGAGGGTGACGAGAAGCCCAATACTTCTAACACATACACTCGCCCGAAACCATCTCGGATGAAACTTATTCCTCGAAAAGGACCAGAATTACCTTTCTCTTAAATCTCAGGGACTCATAATTAACACTTGAAGAACGGGGTGTTACAAGAGAATATTATAACAGAGAATAGTATACAGAGAATACTATACAGAGGATGCTATACATGGAATAACATACATATAATACTATTACTATAACAAGTATACTATAACAAGGTTCAAAAATAACATAATGTGAGATACTACTTCATGACACAGCGACCATTTTGTTGTGTCACGTTTTGTAACCAGAATCTCCTGGAGGGAGAGCGTGGGTTTGCGTATAGATCTATACTGGATTGATTATCCTACACCCTTGGTGTTCGCTACATTGGGATTTGCAAGTCCACGGGTGTCAAATGTCATTTCTTCTGACGTCTTTCATCGTCGTGTTAAAGTCAGTTTAGTATGGTAACAATCTTATCACATTTTGCCTTAATTAAACCATTGGTTTTAAGGTAGTTATTACTTCAGTAGTTAATATAAATAATACTACAGTACACATATATTTTCCCATTATATTCAAATTGTGATCTTCTCACATAAAGGGTAATATAAAACTTTATTTTGGTAATGACAGTCATATTTTGGAAAAGCATTCACTTTTACAGAGAAACAAACACACAAAACAGTTGGGTCTTGGTAGAAGACTACTTTTTATACTAGTAGAAAATATAGGATTTTTTAGGAGTTTTCATGCATATACAAACATTTACATTATACATTTACAAACATTTTCATCGAACTTATACAAACATTGACACTAAATACTTATGAACTCACCAGCTTAAATGTTGATCTACGCTTTCAAAATAACTTGTATTCTCAGGTCATCAGTAGATAGGTACCGATGGCAGGTTTTGAGAAGACGGAGCACAATCAAGACTCGTCTTTAATTTGATTATTCATTCTTGGTGTCTTAATACTATTAAAGAACACGCTTGTATGAAATTATACTATTAATTCAATGGATGATGTTGTTGCTTATTTACTACTTTGCATTGTTGTGATACTATACATGGCATCCTCCGCCCCCGAACGTTTCCGCCGTTCCGGTTTTTGGGTGTGACGACAACATTATCCAGATGTTCCACAAGTCTTTTGACATCAAGAAGCTTCTTATTCTCCTTTTTTAATTCAATCTTTCTCCAAGCTTTTATGGAAATTTTTACAAATCGGAGCTTATCAAATAAGTAACCATCTGGAGCACCTCTACATACAAATTTATCCCACATAGTTTTTACAACTTGATCAAACCTATCATGAAAGATCCCGGAACTAAAGAATTTAGATGTGTGTGGCCAAAATCCAAGAAATGAGTTCTCATAAGAATAAGGAAGTTGTCAAAGTATTCTCTAGGTAGGGCCAAAATAGAAATAGCAGGAAAGGCAACCGTTAAATTTGGACATACAAGGATACGATCCAATTTAATTAGCTTGCACCCATCATTGCAAAAATATGTGAATTTCCTACCTCCCATGTTAAGCTCAATGAGACTTGCATCATGAATAATTTTATTAAAGGCAAAAAGGATCCTCAGATAAAAGGAAGAGTTGAGTCTCACATCCGGCCTCTGAACAACATTGAGATCCCCGAAAAATTCGAGGGAACTTGAGGAGCATAAACATTAAGAAAGATGGTCTCATCCTTAACTCCATTCCAATATCCAACAATCGCCAAATAATACCTAAATTTAATGATAGTGATCTCCTAGAAAAGCTCTTTGTCCTAGAAACAAATCAAACCACCCGATCTACATGTGGATTTGACAAAATCAATTTCCACATTTGAGTATTCCCAACCATACCTGATATCGTGAGGGAGGGAGGAGAGACAGGATTCTTGAATACCAAAAAATGTAATTATGTTATCCTTAACGAGTCTCTGAAGTCTGTCAATTTTGTTTGACTCGCCCATGCCCCTTATGTTTAGAAAAAGTAAATTCATAAGGAAGATTTATTGCCACCACCGCCGTTAACAACCTCCAGTAAGCTTGGGTATTGAGCTTCGAACTGGAAACCAATTTGATTTCCAGCCTCAATGGTTCTTCCAATCTCGAAATAGTAGGATGATGATATGTACTTATGTGGGTAGTATATTTAATTATGCTATTTAGTCTTTTTTTTAAACGGCAAACTAACTAATTAACCTACTCTTAAATAACCACCTATGTCTCCAAAGAGACTAGAACTCATGACCTCTCAATTGAGAAAGTCACTTCGTACCGCTAGACCATCGACCCTTTGGTAATTATGTTATTTAGTCCACGTGCATGACTTAGTCAAACAAAAGAAGTTCAATTGATATTTTCTTATTTATTTACTAGCATTCATTTTATTTACTAGCATTCATGTTGTTCCCATTACGTAGTACTAGGCCACGATTTCCCTTAGTTTTCTCCTACTTCTTTGTTTAGTTATTGTGTTGGTTAATTGGATACATATTTAATTCAATGTAATCGTTTTGAGGTTATGGATGAAGAAGAAAATGGTTTAAATTGTGTTTATGTAGTATCTCTCCTATCTATATTTCTAAAGGGGATTAGCTATCCATAATTGGCTTCTATCAACTAGTGCTTTCATTCTCGTTCATCATGCCTCCCCGTCATGATCCATCCACCAATGTCACACCGCCAAGTATACGCAAGCAACTCTCCACACTCATCGCTATTTTCACCGCTAATGTACATCGTCTTGATGCAAATATCACACAAATGGCCACCGTTAACACCCTCATTGGCCTTCAAACCGGAACAATGGCCAAACTCATCCCGCCACCTCCGCTACCACCACCGAATCAACGACAAAGGCCATTGTTGCCGACATCCACACTGCCACTGTCGCCGCCACAACAACCATTATTGCCACCGCCGCCTCCAAAACCATTGCAATCGCCCATGCCAACCCAACAACCACTTCTACCTTTACAGTCGTCGCCATCATTAACCACGACACCTTCACTACAACACCAATTCCTACCACCGATGATGTCACCCCCGAAAACTACCTTCATAAAACTATAGAAAACAATTTCGGCCAACAAAAACAACCGAAAACAATTCCAAACAAACTCACCGGGCCTCAAGAACGGTGTCCTTTTTAATCGGAGACGAACTAATACAGATCTCTGGCCATACCTGAGGCCGCCTCCATGGCCAGATCCTTCCATCCACAGTTACGACCCGATTGCTACCAAAAATCGGCATAAATCGGCCTTGAGAACATAATTGAAGTGGCCATTTTTCAGAGGTGGAGTATTGATACGTACATGTGTGGGTAGTATATTAATTATGCTATTTAGTCCATGTGCTTGACTTAGTCAAACAAAAGAGGTTCAATTGATATTTGCTTAAGGGGGTGTTTGGATAGGAAAAAAAGAGGTGCTTATTGTTTATTCCCACAATAAGTTTGATGAGATTAATAAACCTTTTAATCTTTGAAGATCGATAAGATCTTGAACAAGTTATGAAAACAATGACGATATAAACACAGTAAAATTATGGAACAAGAATGAATCAAACGTGTTGAATGATTAAAACAAAATCCTCAGAAGAGCTCGATTAAGAACATCAACTGTAGAGGATTGGAAGGTTACAAGTATGATCAAAGAAACCTTTAGTCGTTCGGAAAATATTGTATTCTCAGATCTCTAAAACCTTAACCTAATATGCATGCAAGCATAAGCTTATATACAAAGCATAAAAGACACACGGTTGGACAGGCCCAAACCGTAATACAAAGAATTATAAACAAACGAGCCCAAAAGACGCAATCTTCTAAGCCCAACAAATCTCCCCCTTTGCGTCAATTTGGGGCGAGATCTTCACTCTGTCTTCAAAGCAGATGGCTTCTTTACCGTTTGAAAAATTTTCGGTATCAAAGCTAGAATATGATGCCTGAAGGTAATATACCAACGAAGCATATCTGTAAAGTTCTTCTTATCTGCTGTTGTTCTGTTTGCATCGGTGAATAATATTGATGATGTGCTCCAGACACTCTGTAGAGAACAGATGCTTGTCTACCAACGCAAACAGAAACTTGTGCTTATCCCCCTTGTGAACATAACTGTCAGATTGGAAGAATCAATCTGCCCCAACTTCATTTTATGGACATCTCCGGTTTTGGAAGTGGGCTTGACAGTCGGTTTCTTATTCATCCTTTGCTATTTCCTGATCCATAGTGGCTAGCTCATGGACATAGGAAGCCAACATTCTTTTAAGATGAGAAAGAATTGGTTCATATTCTCTCTGGTTGGAGAGAAGAATGTTGTATAGCAAGATCCAATCGTGGGGGTTCAGACTGGGAAGATCTGCCAGAGAAATAAGATGTTCGGTGTTGGCAGTTCCTCTGTTGATTTTGAAATTGACGTTTACAAATTTCCCAGCCTGGGTTGGTTTCAGTACCTTGACTCTAATAATTTTCTGGGCACTCCAAGTCAAGTACTGAGGTTGACCGAATTTCAGATAGAAATCGATAAGCTCCCTGTCAACCTTCGGGTTCGGATGAGGGACGTTTGCAGTGACATCAAAGCAGTGAAAAGTGAAGGCTTTACGCGTAATGGGCATGTCGAACTGCGAGTCTTTGGAATTTTCACACTCAAAAGATGCAATCGGTTCCAACCAATAAATAGAAGGAAACTCAATTGCTTGAGTGATGAGTGTGTCTCTGTCCCAATCTGGGAACAGAGTCTTTTTAGCTTGAATTAGCCTCCTCATCCTCCCGGATTTTCCTTTCTCTGGCTTCTGCCTCACGAGCTATTTTCAATGTTTCATCAAGCTCTCTGTCCCGTTTCTTGCGTTGAAGAGCTTCAGTAATGGTTTCATCTGATTCTGATTCGCTCTCAACTTGGACATGTTTACCAGAACCCGAAGCTACATTACCCTTCGGTTCTGTTTTGGACATACCTTCCTCTCCCCCTTGTCTCGGAAGAACAGGCTTCTCCGAGACACCCTTCATTTCACTTAGGATAGTGATTGCCGGAAGGAGTTTCGCCTGGAGATGCTGACGAATAGTGAGGGTTAGGAAGGGATCATGGGAGTCAAGAACACCGGTTAACAGATTTTTAACGTCACCAGCGCAACTCTGAAGAACTGCCCGTTGAGTTTGAAGCAAAGTGATTTCTTGTTGTGCCTGGGCCAGTTGAACCTTCTGTAAGTCAATAGTTGCCTGGTGCTTGATAACTTCTTCCTTCAGGGTGCTCTCGGCTGCCAAAGAGGCAAAACGTGAATCCAAAGATTTGAGAAGTGAAGTGGATTCAGTTTTGAGGTCAGCACGCAGAGCCTCAAATTTCCTGGTTTCTCCCTGAAGGGTGGCTGTGAACGAGTCTACTGACGCTTGAAATTTGGAAGCATTTGAGTCAGCATGAGCCTTGAGAGAATCAAGAAAGATCTGAGTTGTATGAACAACCTCAGAAACTTCCTTAGTGGCTTTGGAGCATGAGGCCGCTGAATTCTCTACGGCGTCAGTAGAGCGATCCAAGGCTTCGGTGTAAGTCTGGATCGCTGACTCGATAAAAGCCTTCAGCACAGCACCCCCATATGCTTTACTGTCAGCCAGCAGACTGTCGAGTTTTGCGTGAATCTCTTGAAGTTGCTGACTTGACACAGGGGTATCTGTATCGGTGTCGGTAGGGATCCGGTAAGGGCTGTAATAGATGGAATCAAATTCTTCATCATCACCCCCTAGGGTAGCACCGGAGTTGGAAGATGGAGAAGGGGAGGATTGAAGATTGATGACCGGGGTTTCAACCACAGAAGCAGCCCCCGTATCAGATACGTTGACCGTTACTGGTGGTTGGGTTGTGGTTATGGTGATAGATTCTGTGATAATAGGTTGGGAGATAGAAGATGAAGGTTGAGAAACGTGTGAAGGGAATAGTGGTTTCGGTTGAGGTTTGGGGAATTGATGTTGGAACAGAACTTGAGATGTTCTGTTTGGGTGATTGGGTTGGGGTTGGAAATTTTGGGGAAGAAGGAGGAGAAGGAGATTTGGTAATTTGGGGAGATTTAGGTGGGGTAGGTGAGTTTTGTGGAGACGAAACGGGTGTAGTTTCGGGTTTAGGATTAACGGCTGGTGGGGTAGGTGAGTTTTGTGGAGACGAAACGGGTGCAGTTTCGGGTTGAGGATCAACATCTTCTGTTTCGGATGGTGCATTCTGTTTTGATTAGAAGGAGATCCTTTGGCTCTTTTAGCCATCTTCTTGACCTTTTTCGTTCTGGGCTGAGAAGGTTCCTCTGCCTCGGATTTGCGTTTGGAGGACCTTCTCTTTTTCTCCGTTTGGGGTGCGGGTTCCTTCATCTCAGCCTTCTCCTTTTTGCTCACTCTTTTGCCCCGGTTAGCAGGCTGATCCAGAGCCTCAAGAGCTGCACGTTGTTCCTCGGAAAGAACCCTAGGAGGCAGGGGGTTCTGGAGCTGTAGTCCGCCATAATCTTGCTGTGGGGCGTGACGCATCTGTACATGGACTCAGGGATTAGTCCATAGTGGAGGAACTTACTTGGATCTGAGAGAATGATTTTCTTGGTGTGTATGTGGCAATTGAAGCCATAAGAACATCCTTCATGACAGGGATGTCAAGAGAATCAATGGCTCTCCTGGTGATGAGGGTCCAAAACCTGGCGCATGAAATTTCTGAGTGCCTTGCGGTAGTGTTGAGACTCTGAACCACTTGAGACCAGAGAATCGACCCATAGTCAAGATTGATGCCGTTGTAAAGCCCGTACAGCATTGTAAGAAATCCTTTGCTGGTGGTGTCGGAACCACCACATCGCTCCGCTAAACCCTTAATTAAAAGGGTAAGCAATCCATTCCACTGAGATGGAAGACATGATTTCTTGACTTTGGCAATAGATGTTAGAACATCTGTATACCCCATCTCGTACATCATCTTAAAGATCTGGGCGGTTGTGATGAAGTCTGGTGAGATGACAGAAGCATCCACGGCAAGCCCTAGAAGAGAGCAAAACCGTGTTTTGGAAACGGAAGTCTTCTTGTCGTGAATAGAGAAGTAGATACGGTCTTTGTTTCTGTCGTAGCTAGCGGTGGTGTAGACTTGAGATAGCAGGGACATAGGAACTGCCTCCACCTGCGTTAATGCCAATACCAATGGGGAATATTTGAGGCATTCCACCACGTAGAGCATATATGAGTCATAGACGAATGGAGACAACTCTATGATCATGTTCTGATTTGGTTTGATTGTAAGAAAAGAAGAAGAAGCAGATTGATCGTGAGCAGAAGAAGAAGTCGCCATTGTTGAGTTTTTGGAAGAAGATGAACAGTGGCAACTTTATCAGAGAGATAATGCTTTGAGAGGTAACTGCCAAAGAACACGATCACGTCTTATTTATACCGTTCTCAGGAGAGAGAAAATCGTGATGATGAGGAACCCAAAACGTCGCCTGAAAAAGCGCGATTAGAAGTTATGGTGTATTCAATGAAGACGTCAGCACACGTGGGGTTGAAACGAATCCTTTGCACGCGCCCAAATCTTTTTCGTACCGTTTGAAATCCCTTGTGCCCTTGTTTGGTTACAACTGAAACTTAGAACCATGTGCCAAACAGCAATTAGAATGTGGGAAAAAATTCCGTGCATAAGAGTGTGAAAGACAAGGAAATAAATCAAATGTGTTTGGAAGTGCGTGTTGTCTAAATAAAAGACAGAAGGCAGAAGATTCCGGGCAAGAATCGCGTCCTTCAGAGTCAAGAGAGACCTGAAGTGTTTGTGTGGTTTCCCGAGAAATACGATCAGTTGTCTTTAGAGAAACAATGAAAGGCGTCTTCTGTTGATGGCTAAGAGGTGGCTGAACTCAAACCAAACATTAAGTCTTGACATAAAACTAAGTGTTGGTAGAGTTACCTGTGAGACCGATGTGATCTGTTGAACAGGTAGGAGGGAAGTATTTCGTGATGGGAATGATATAGACAGAAATCTCAAAATAAATTAAACTGGATCTCTTTGGGAAGAAATGTCTTAGGACGAGACAGTTTCATAAAAGATCACTCAAAAAAAGATTTCCAAGTAAAA